ATTTAATGAAATTATACAAAAAATTCAACAACACATACTTTTGGATTACTAAGAGCAATGACAAAGACAATCATAAAAATAGCCAATGAAACAAGTATTTGAGTCATTCTATAAAAATCAGTACAAATAAAAACAAGTAGAAGTCGATAGTTAAATTAATTAGTTAGAATAAAAAACAACAACAACACTTTGACAGAGTTTGCTAACTACTAAGCTTATTGAATTTTTGAGAGTTTTCTAAAAGTCGCTCGAAAATTATAGAAGATCCGTTACATATTTTTTGCAGACATTCAAATCTACTTTTATATATAGATTCAAAACGGTTTTTCTAATAATAGAGCATTATCCCAGTCAGTCATAGTCATTCCGAAAACTGCAGGATTCTAAAATTTATGAAAAATTTTAACATGCAAGAAGCGTACGTTACCATGGCAACATAGGTTTTGCTCGCTAATTCCTGCGTGTTATTTTTCCTACACTAGAGGTCTGCGGGACCAAACGTTTTTGGTCTCGGTCCCGTGGTCCCGTAAATATTTTTTCAAAGAAATTTTTTTACTTCATACAAGACTATTTTCAAAAAAACCTGATCGCGGTCCTATTAAAAGTTCCACGGGACCGGGACAATCCCGCAGAACCGGCACTGTCCCGCAGACCCCTATCCTACACTCGTAGCTTCTTGCGTGTTGTTGTCACAAATTCGCTAAACGCGTAAAATATTTCGTAAATGTTGGAATCCTGCAGTTTTCGGAATCACTACGATTGACTGGGTTGATACGCAGTTTTAGTAATCTTTACAGTCAGTAATTTTGTGACAATAAAATATGGCTATCATCAAATGGAAAAATTCTAAAAGCTTTTCAGTCACACTTGATTGCAGATCCATAGTCAACTATTTGGTACACAATAACTTTTAGATCGGGATATTTTAGAAAAACTTTTTTTGACATCATTTTGCTTTTTGTCGAAAATTTTTGTGCAAGATCATGAGTTCCTTTTTATAAAGTACCCCAATTTAAAAGTTATCGCGACCCAAATAATTGCCTATGGAGAAGATCAATCTGCAATCGAGTGTGACCGAATAAGCTTTTAAATTTTTCGGTTTGATGATATGAATAATAATAATACATATTCTACTCATTTTCTCACAGTGAGATATTGAAATAGATGTCCATATTTTCTTAAATCTGTTTCTGCTTCAATCGTCGGACTCCAATACGAGTCAACTACGCCTTTAACTACAATCGGAAGCAATATTTGATACTAAAGAGAGAATGTATGTTAAGATATTACTCGTGTGATGCAACGCTGAGCCCATTGTCATACATATAAGATACGGATATACTAATAACAATAAATAATTGAACAATCAATGATATCCATGAAAAATACTTATAATTATCAAGTATCTAAAACCACAATAAAGAATAACGGAAATATATGTATAACAAAATCTAACAAAAAAAACTTACTGTACTTAATGGCACAGTTGATATATCACCATTTTTTTCAGCTCTTTGAATAGCATGAAAAATCCAATATATATCAAATTTAAGATGCAAGAACACATACTTCTCTAATGAGGGTGTACAAGGATGTTGTTCTTGTGTTTCATTTATTAAATTATATTTCCAATTCATGGTCTGATTTAACTCATTCGGTAAACAAACACTATGCTGGGAAACGACAGCCAATACTGACGAACACCTAGAAGAAGAAAAAATACAGATAAAAACTAATCATAACGACAACATCATGAAACACAATAATAAATTTGGCTTGGAAAAAATGCTTCTTTTTTTATTACGTATGACCAAATCAAAAAATCTGACTAGAAAGTACAATTATTTATCTTTTGAAAATGATTCCGAGACATCGGATGAATTATCTTTAATTGTTTAAAAATTGAGTGGTTAACTTAATCTCATATGTGATATTGTACATACCAAAGAAGATTTAAAAATGACACACGTTGTTAAACCAAAAAAGCATGCCAAATTGAAACCAATTATCTTAAAAAAGAAAAAAATATATATCATTCACCCTAATAGTTGGTATCAGAGATCGACACGGGCCGAAACGTTTTGGCTTGACCCGGTCCAACAAAGAAAACTTGAGGCGCGAGTTCGGCCCGATCCGACCAGTATTCAAAATTTTAGGGCTCGGTCAGGCCCAACCTTTTTTAGTTGTTTACAGTCCCTTGCATCTTTAACGCTAATAGCTTTAGTTGACAAATAGCTATAAATGTGCTTCTAACACAACTCTATTATTTAAATTTTTATGATTTTTTTCCAATCTTTGTATGCACTAGATAATCTAACAATACATTTTTTATTATGCGATATTTTTCGTTTTAATAACTAAATACCTTCATCTGATGTTTGTTTATTGAGCAACATATTAGAAAAAGAAATATTACAATATTCATCACGACCCAACAAAGAAAATTTGAGGTCCAAGCCCGGCCCGTTGTTTCAATTGACATTCATCAGTCCACCTAAAAAATTTAATCATATATTATTTAAGATTACCATTGTATGTAGTTTTTTTTCTTTTTCTTCTTCTTGCCACTACCTAATGCAATTGTACTCATTAGAAATGAATCTCCAATATAATTATAATTATGCGTAACAGAATTTTGAATTTTTAAAACAACTATTAGTGTGATAACAACTAAATAAATTAAAAATATCATTTATTTTTGACATTTTCTTTCGTATTCAAAGAGCGTACCAGTTGCTGAAAATAAACTTCCTTTTAAAAATGTTAATACTGATATAATGGGTTGAATAAACTGATGAAGAAACACAATACACAACGTCCATGTCCAACAAAAGACAGGTATCATTCTCAAATATCTATATTTAAAATAAATGAAATGTTATCAAGAGAATATATAATTATTATCCAATTTACCCGAAATAAAATAATGATGCATATGCTTGACTTCCTGCTTATGTATAACTGATCAACATACATAATCTGAAACTGAATTTTAAGATTGAATAAATAATATTCTGATTAAAAACGAATTTGTTAATAAATAAAACTAACAAACTCAGTATAACTGTCAAAGTAAATATTTGTCGATATCAACATGGAAGTAGAAGCTCTCCCAGTGAGTGAAGATTGGGCAGACATTGTTGAATTGTATGCGGTTTTGTTACTTGAACGAAGAAAAAATAATTTATAAATAAAATTCACAATAACCTATAATACGTACACGTCAAGCAAATCGAAATTTATTGAAGATCAACGTAGAAACAAACACAAGCAAAATAGTTGTTGTTGATGATGTTTGTATTTTGTCTACTAAAAACATCATTACCGTGAAATAGTTGGAATGTACTGTTATTGAGCAATACAACGTGGAATCATACTAGCGTTGTTATCGTCACATTTAAAGACATTTTTTGTTAAATGAGCATAGAATTAAGGTTTCAGTAATTCAAAAATGCAACGAAAGCTTTTTTTAAGGAAAAAAGCTGAAAGAATCCGATAAAAATTGCAGAATGGATCTCGTATACCAAATTTTCGATAAAAATAGTAGAAATGATCCCGGATTTAGAAAAAAATATTTTCAACAGAATTGATCCCGGAATAAACTAATTTATATTTATTGTGCAGAATTGATTCCGGAAAACTTTTTTCTTTCTCTGAACGACAGAATTGATCCTAATTGACGTGTGGTGCGAATGTAAAGACGGCGTTGAGACATAAACAATAGCAATGTATAGTGGTCCCATCTTTTTCCATTTATATCACTTCTGACCATTACTATCAACATTAAACAAACTATAGATTGCAAGACATGGCTAGTAGTTTCTACGTGTGCAAACGAAACCAATTTGTTAAGTTGTATCAAAACTTAAGGTGTCTGCATAAATCGAACGAAACAATTCATTGGTGGTCTATCAATTACGTATAAATGTTCACAGTACTGAAAATATCCTTTATGCGAGTATGAATTGAAAGCTAAACAATCTTCCATTCTGCAATTTTTACGGGATCAAAACAATTACCATCCTTTTTTAAATATAGTTCGATAGAGCTCAACAATTTACTTAGAAAAATAATAATTTTAATTTTTAAAGCCATTTTTTATTAATGTTTAAAATTAGGTAACATTGAGTAAAAAATTTTCAACGTTATCATTTTTTCATTCTGATTCAACAAGTAGAACTGAATATAAAAGAATAAATTTAACATAATTAGAATCTAAAATGAGCAATGCATTAGTCAATCATGAGCAGAACCACCCAGTTACTTGCGGTGCATCTTTCAAACCTGTGCCGTTTTTTCAGTTGGTTTTTTTCATTTGTTCCTAACTATCATACCCAAAAATACTTATCGATTTTAATTTGTATGTCTAGATGCTAGAAGAATAATTTTTTTTTAAAAAAAATCAACCGAGAAAAAATATGAAAAAACCGTAATTCTCGATTGTCATCAATAAACTTCAGTTTTGTTTTTTGCAAAAAACCAATATCATATTTAGAATCAGCGTCAAAAAATTGAACTGAATAATGTTTCTCACGATTCTATCCGACAGCTTTGATTTTTCTATCAGAAAATCGATGAGATTTTCGCTCAAAAATAAAATGATCTAGAAATGTCGAGAGAAAAAACAAGTCATTTGACGCTGATTCTGAATATCACATTGGTTATTTTCAAAAAAGCTGACGTTCAGTGGTCATGTCAGAAAAAACAATTTTGTTGCGTTTTTGTATTACTATCACCTTTAAAGAAAATAATTGCTAACGCCTTATTTCGTAGAAAAAACATGCGCTTGAAAAATCCAGTCACGATTTAATTAAGTTATATATGTTGTTTTTTTAATACTATTTCTTTCTTTTTTTATGTTATATTTTTCTTTTTTGTTCGGTATGATCTAGACGAAGTTTCTTTTAAACTTTTATCATCACCAAGTCAGTTTTAAGATCATAGACTAAATAAAACTACTATGGTATTCGAATGGAAAGACTTAAACTTTTTTTTGACGAAAATAGAAAAAGTTTTTAAAACATGTTTCGAAATTAGGTTTTTTTGGAGTATCTCCACAAAAACGCTCTGGATCTGTTGAGATAACCCAATTTAGACTAGATTTTGTGAGTGAGTGATGAATTTTTGAAATTTGCATGAAAGTCGAGTAAAATAAGTTATTTCATCTAACGCAACTGAGGTTATAAATTTTTAACAATGAAAAATACTACGAGAGGGTGACAGTTGATAATCTGTGTTCCAGTTAACTTTATGGCATGCCATTTCATAGTAGTCCCATATCCGATAAGTTGACCTATCTGCTCATGTAAATATATAAATATATTGTCTGATTTTGGTCGACAGATGTGTCTTTTGAGACTCTTCATTGGGGCTAAATTTTGAGAATGGACTTGTTTCTAGCCGTGGGATTTCTCTGAAATGAGAAACATTATATTCGAATGAAGACAGAGGAAAGAAATCATCGAATTCTTGTACTATAGATTAGTCATATGTAACCTATTAATGCATTAATAGGTTACATATGACTAATCTATAGCATAAGAATGCATCTAAAGAAACCCCAAGTTCTTGACTAAGAAAGATGAAGTTCACGTTAAGAAACACGAAGTTATTCAGGAAAAAAGATGGAGTTCTCGAGAAAAAAACCCTAGTTCTTCAGGAAGAAAGACGAACTTTTCATAAACAAACTCCAAGTTCTTGAGGAAAAAAGATGAAGTTCTCGTGAAGAAACTCCACGTTTTTGAGGAAAAAAGGTGAACTTTTCATGAAGAAAACCCAATTTCTTGAGGAAAAAAGATGAATTTCGAGTGAAGAAACGCCAGGTTATTCAGGAAAAAAGCTGTAGTTCTCGTGAAGAAACCCAAAGTTCTTGAGGAAAAAAGCTGATATTCTCGAGAAGAAACCCAAAGTTCTTGAGGAAAAAAGCTGATATTCTCGAGAAGAAACCCAAAGTTCTTGAGGAAAAAAGCGGTAGTTCTCAGTAAGAACCTTAAGCTTTTCAGAAAAAAAGATAAAGTTTTCGTGAAGAAACCCCAAGTTCTTGAGGAAAAAAGATGAAGTTTTCTTGAAGAAACGCCTCTTTCTTCAGGAAGAAAGATGTAGTTGTCGTGAAGAAATAACTAGTTCTCAAGAAAAAATATATAGTTCTCGTGAAGAAACCCCAGGTGCTTGGGGAAATAGATGAAGTTCTCGCGAAGAAACGCCTAGAGAAAACCATTAGAATCGTAATTGTAAGGCTGTTGTTGTTGAGCATGTTGTATATGAGAAAGTTTAATAACTCCATCATTAACTGCTAGCTTCGCCGCTTGATTTAAATCATTTCTATGTTGTTGAACAGCATGACACGATGGTGCAAGTGATGGATGATTTTGGGCTACATTGAGCACATTTAGACTTGTTTGTACTGAGCATTGTATATTCCTGTATATCACTAACAGTAAAGCGATAGTCAGCAGTAGATCTTTCATAGTGATAAACAATTTTTCTAAAATTATCTGCTGCTATTATTGAATGTTTCTGTTGGCTTCGTTTAAGGGAAATGATGGTAGACTAGTGAGTACTGATTATATATTTGTGCATGTATCTAGGAATAAAGTTTTCACATTTTTGTCCACTAGGGCAACGCTGACAAGCTTTTTCTAAGATATGTAAATATATCGAATGATGAACGCTCTATTTTAGCAGACAGCACGTTATTGTTCATTGTAAGAAGAATCAATCATGGATACGTTCGTCAAAAGAAACCTAGACCAATTTATTATACTATTTTCCAATCGAAACTCGACGACCATGTAATTATGTGTCTGATAGACGAGATGATGACAACAATAGTGGAACCCCCAAACGTAAAAGCCCCCGTTATGATTGTGTACCCCGACCACGTACACAGTGGTTGCCAGTCTGGCTTTAAATTATTGACTGAAATTGTTGAATGATGTCTAATTTACGCATTTTATATACGCATCTATGTTTGTATCTTATAGAGAAAAATGATATTTGATTGTTTTTCTTTCTAAATCTTCGCTTTATTAGCCATCAGTGATCGTGAAATAAAAAATTTTATTTTTGATGCTATATGTGTAGAATTCAGAAGGTTCGCAAACATAAGAGATGTTATCTCCTCTTCTGTACAATAGTGAACTATTTTTGAAATTTTTGCTACTACTTTATGATACCAGCAGTTGAATTTTTAAATTAATATATATTAATTAAGTCATATTTGTTTGTTCTGAAGTATAAAAACCATAAGCATTCTTATTCTGACAACATTCTTTTTCGATTATTAATTATTTTGCATTGTTCTCGCTAAGTAAGACATTATGAGAGAGATTGAAAAATCGACTTTTTTTGCGCCAGACGGATCGAGCTGAAATTTTGAGAAATGAATTATGATTATTAGTTACACATTTTGTGAAAGTTTCATCTTTACACATATGATGGTTCCATAGATATTCATTTTTATAGCTGGCGCTAAGTGAGTAGCAGTTATTCTCATTGAACGTAGCGCTTTCGCATGGAAAAATTTTTTCGAAGAAGCGACAGTGTCTAGCATAATTCTTGATGATTGAAAGCTTTTTTATAACATATAAGTACGCTTCCCTTGGTTTTTTGAGTAAGTATAGTCCTGTTTTGTTGCTTAGTTACACAAGAGAAATTACCTTAAATGGCAATTCTATACCGTATAAGCAAGAAAGGAGAAAATTTAGTTCAACCGTAGAATAAAAGGTACCGCTTCCATCTTTCTTTCTTTTCATCTTATCATTTTTCCTTTTCCTTGTATACGCATGTCAATAAATAAAATAAATAAAACTATAGGAAAAAGTACGAAAAGACAAACTTTTATCTTATCATAAAAGTATTAATTGGCCTTTTGGCCCAAAAGACAGTATCCAAAATGACTTTAGTCCATACTCTGTCAGTTTCACGAAAATAAAATTAGTTATAGGATACATATTTCTTATTCTATTCCATTCGATATAATGCAAGCCATTTTTCCAAAATAGATATGTCTGGTTTGTGGGATAGAAGGCCAATATCTTCAGGAAAGAGTTTAGTGACTTATATAGACACATTTTTGATAAAAAGAAGTGTTATACTGAGCATTTTTTAAATCCACTCAAGAAATGCTGGCTTTTCCTTTTTAATTGGGAAATTGAATATTTAAGAAAGCAACGTATGAGTTTGTATATTAAGGGAACGTTTCAAAATGTATTCCGGTCGGTCGGTCGCTATTCCTCTATTCCGCTGTTCGCCTATTCCTCAATTCCTCTATTCCCCGACTATTCCTCTCTTATTCCTCTGTCATTCCTCTATTCCGCTCTTCCTCTATTCCCCAATTATTTCTCTATTATAGAATTTAAATTCTAATTTATTTTATTTTATTTTGTATAGTTCGGTTTCTTTGATTGTATTATTGATACATATATCGGCATATATATACTTTCAATGTGTTCGTTTTTTTAACAGACATCTTTATAAGAGCAGACATTTTTCTGTTTAAAGAATAAAATCAGAAAGTAACAAATTTTATATTTTCATCAAACGTTCATCTTTTTTATATTCAAGGAGGCGAGTGCTTACTGTAAGCTTATTTCATATTGCACCAACTTCGCGAACTAACATTACAGTAATTAGAATAGACCCATTTCCATCTTTTATACTAGTTTAAAGTGCACGAGTTGGTTGGAACAGCTCAATATCTATAATATTTACATTGGATGTAAATATTATAGATATTGAGCTGTTATAAACTCTACGAAATGTCTCTTACCGATACCATATACCACAGGCCCAATTGATAATTTTTAAAACTTACATTTTAGAAAGGAAAAAATCATGTTTATTAATGAAAAAGAATTAACAGATAATTAATGTAAAAATAACTTGATATACTTTGTTTCATATCCCACATTGATCTATATACCATTTCGTATTTTAATTAGAACGAGAAAAGAATTATTTAAATTCTAAAACATAAAAATTAAGATGTAGTGGTAGTCAAATAGTTTTCATATTCGTACCTGGATATTTATAAATTATACTAGCATTCACTAACAGTTCAGAATTAAAATCTGATACAATCAATAGATAGAGTTAGTCAAATTGATTATATTAATATCGAATAATATTTTCAGTTGGATACTTAATAATGACTACTAACAGTCAGAAACGCATCACTAATAGCTATCAACACTCGAAAAGACGTCAGTACCTCTTTCACTTTTTAATTTAGTAAATATAAACATAATCCAATGCTGCGAGTCGATCTGCATGTAGCTCGTGCCTTTTTTGGGTATTAGTGACACGGTTCTGGCTGTTAGTAGTCATTGTTAAATATCCATCTGAAAATATTATTCGATATTAATATAATCAATTTGACGAACTCTATCTATCGATTGTATCAGACGAACGAAATTTATCTATTGATTGTATCAGATTTTAATTCGGAACTGTTAGTAGGCGTTAGTGTACAGTTAATATTTGTTTCAAAGTATAGATCATCTTACCATCAAAACTGATTGTTGCATTTCTATCCACATCGAGTCTTGACAATAATGCTTGAATTTCTCTTCCGGCCAACACTGGACTCATGCCTAACATTTCCTGCATTGGTAAATAACATTTTCTGAATTCATTAACAGTAATATTTCCATCATTGTCTTTATCAAGTTTTCTAAATTCTTTTTTTCAATTGATCGTCTGTTAAACTCATTTTTATTAAACTTGATTAAGAATATAACTTGTTTTTTTGTTTGTTTTAAAGGTTTCTATACTTGATCAAACTATCATTGACTTATAGGTTTTGTACAGGAAAAATACCTCTATGATCTTTAGTTTGGCTGAATAAAACACTGAAATTTTTATAACTAAGTGAAAATTTGTCTCCAGAGGTAACTTGATATGCTCTACAATCTGTTACTATCAGAACTTGTTCAGACGAAAGTTCACTGTGGGTTTCTGAAGACATCGAATTTAAACAGAGGTTCTGAAAGGCCGTATGGGGATGACCGAATATCTGATTCGTGATCAGCATCAAAAATTATCCATAATCAAGTATGTTTCAAGGAAAATCCAAGGTGGCACTTAAGAATCTTTCCTCGTAAGCTAAAGTAAATTGAGTAGTGGTATTAATTAGATCTATTTAATTGTTACTACGGATATGGAGATAGATTTTTTGATACAGATAAATCATTAAATATACAAATTTAAATATGATAAATATTGCTTTAGCTTAAAAATAATAGTAATCACCGAAAAATTAGCCACGTTAGAATTGTTATAATGCGTAAGTGTTTAAAACATCAATTTTTTTTTCACATTACCTTTTGAATAATATTCATCACTACGAATTGATTTAACTTTTGTTAAATGATTGATCTACAATAAAAATAGACATTAGTTTGATCATACTCAAAATATTTTAAGAAATAGTTTAATCTAGATACTTACTAGGATGTCTGTTTCGTCCACAGATAAATACTTTTTCGATGGTAATTGTGATGGTGTATGTGAATGTTTATATCGCATCGGACTATTTAATCTTTTAACAACGTCGACTACTTGTTCATATGTTGTTCGTTGATATCCTAGTGGAAATGGTGGATGAACAATTGTACCTACAAAATATATTAGAATTATTATTTTTGAACAAAAAATTTTAGTCTTGCAACACTCTCACCAGTATAATTATAAATTAAATGATAGAAAATGCAATAAAGTTTTGATTACCAGACCCAGGCACAAAAAAATTGGCCCTAAAACGCGTTTTTCTTCCGTTTTTAACGATCAGAAAGGCGTTAAATGTTTCAATTGAAACGAAGAAAACGCGTTAAAACAGTCTTTTGAACACCTTAGAAACGCGTTACTTTTGTGTTAAAAACGTACAAAAAAACGCGTTTTCAAACGTTCTAGAACGCGTTTCAGATGAAACATTTAACGCATTTTATGATCATTAAAAACGCGTTTCGGGATCGAGTCTGCAACTCCTGAATCGTTCCAGAATTTTCGTTAAGCCAATAGTGAGACTTAGCTACCCAGTGGGACTTGATCTAAAAATAGTGAAAATCTATAATAAAGGAGGTACAAAACTGATGATTTAAAACTGAAAAAGAACGAAAAGACGAGAATATTTCTTCGATATTTCGATTGTGCTTATATACTCGACTGATCGCAAAACAAGACGGTAAACAATTAGTTGCGTTTTTCAATCGTTAAAAACGGAATAAAGATGCATGAGAACAGAAAATGGGACAAACATTATGAAACACGTTTCTGGAACGATTCAGGAGTTGCAGACTCGACCCAGTAACGCGTTTTTATTTTGCGTACAGCAGTCACAGGAAAGAAAAATATGCACAGTGGTAAAATAGCTAGGTATTTTCTTTCTCCTGTCGTCATTTTATTATACGTCATGATGACTTCGTCGCATGAATTAGTTTTTTCCCACAAAGAAACTTGTATCGTCATAGATGAGAATAAAATATATTCTTTATTACTAATTGTAAAACTATTTTCCATTCAAATGGCTAGCAACGAACGTACACTACAAATTTATAGAATCGTTCAGGACTTTGTTGCAGGATAAAATATCCCTCTTCATTTCAGGAAAAGTAAAAAATCGATTTGGTTTCTCAGCTAAATTAAAAATCAAATGGATTATATATACGCGCTGAGTTTTGAGTTTCTTAAAAAACAACGACGATTTTTCTTTCTCATATAGACTTTTAACTCAACTTTCTTTTAACTCATATAGACTTTCACCATTCATTGATCTACATAACAGTATTAATAATTCAAATTGTTTATCAGTAAGGAAATTTTTAACATCAAGTACGGTCGACGTCCGACGACGAACTGGATCGAGAGTTCTATCAACTAGGCTGAATCGAAATATCATAGTGGTAGCCACCCAAAAGCCTTCAGAGAACGGTTTTCGAGAAAACGAGTGGGGAATACTAATGATTAAGATTGTGCCTTATGCCTCTTTCAAGATCAACTTTCTCATTGGTCTTAACACGATAAAAGAAAAATCGTCGTTATTTTTTAAGAAACTCAAAACTCACCGCGTATATAGGTCCATTTGATTTTTAATTTAGCTGAAAAACCAAATCGATTTTTTACTTTTCCATCATAGATGAGATAGATCTTTTGAATACCACAAAAATAAACTAGGAAATTTTTAACATCAAATACGGTCGACGTCCGACGACGAACTGGATCGAGAGCTACTGCTTGAGATAGATCGAACATTAGACTATATTTTGTGGTATTCAAAAGATCTATCTCATCTATGACTGGTTTAGAAAAGATAGAGAAACAAAAAATGCCGTCAACGTTTGTAGTCTGCTTTAGAATTAATGTTCTAGTGAGTCATCTATTTGTTGTATCGTTCCGTTTTCGGCTTTTTTTGTTAGTTTCTGGCTGATGGTTACCTTTAAGGGTCTAAAAACGTACAGAAAAGAAATGAAGTTCAAATTCGCTGCTTTATTTGTTATTCGGAAAGTGTTGTCCAACAAAGATATTTTCTTCAAGAATCTACAGCTCAGTCTTACATCTTGTTGTAAAGTCTTTCTAAAACGGATAAATCCGATTCAGTGAAATGAGTATTATTTCTAATTCAGACACTCTCTTTGAGCCTGGAAAGCGATGTCGATGTTGCTTGAGTGTAATAATGGAGATTATAATTATATTTACGTCGTCGAACAAGAACACCATGTGCATAATACATCGAGAAAATGATAAAATCATATAGACCATGCGAGAAAATAGCCGCGGGCAATCCATAATTCATCATAATCCAAAATTCAAAAAACCCGAAACACCACGAATTATAATAGCCTAATAATCCGAGATACAAATGTGCATCTCGAAATTTTCCATTTGCAATTATTGCAGCTGATCCAATTGACCAGTGGACTTGATCGTACAATAACCATCTCAATCTATTAAAGAATAGTTTATTTATGATCGGCGCCTCTACATTAAAGTAAACGAATTCAGACCCTCCAAAAGAAAAGAAATTTGTTATCTTGCTTGCCACAATATTTGAATAGAAGAATAACCAGCGATATTGTATTTCTTCTGTTATTCCAATTAATAAGCTGTCAATAAAACATTGAAATAATGTTGATTCGTCACTCGCGTATGCTGCATAAATAATATTCTCGGTTTCTAAGGTTTCTTGTGTGCACAGCATCAGAGGGACTAAAGTAATAATGAAACCCCAAAGAAATATTGGCCATGATCTTAAGAGGCCATTAAAAATGTCTTCATAGCGCCAGTAATAGAATAGTGACAGTTCGATAGCTGTTGGAAATATTAGCTTGATCATAAGAAATATCAGTAACATTATTCCGATATAAAAGAGAAAAATTACACTCGCCATATAATTTGACATATTCCATTTAAATTTGAAATATTTCATTTTACTTTCTTAACTATAAATCTAGCGCCTATAAAAATAAACAAAGTAATTGTATATTCATTAGTCAGTCATAAAATGATGGATAACAAAATAGTAGTTAATAGATAGAAAGAAGAGATTATTGATGCTTGAGCGTGAACGACATTTGGGCGCATGTACGACACAAGCATTCACTAAGAGTACATTTGTTAAAAGTATAATGCATAACGATACAATTTTATTCTAAATAAACTTGGTAGAGTGTGAGAGCTTTTTCTATATTATTTCACAACTCATATCTAACTGTAATCACTGTTTGTTTAATCTTCATCGATCCTCACTAGAGCCCTGCGGGATTGAGTTTTTTCGTCCCGATCCCGGTCCCGTCCCGTAGGATTGAAACCCGGTCGCGATCCCGAAAAATTCTTTTCGATAATCCCTATTCTGTCCCGTAGACTTAATCCCAAGTCCGATCCCGTCCCATAGGCATAATTACAATCCCGTTAAATCCCGAAATTTTTTTTCGCTCGAATACATGAACTCAACCACAACTATTGATGAAGATGGAGGGGAAGATGTTTTAGACTATTGGAGAACACATCAACAAGCATATCCAATGATATCATCCATTGCTCGAGAAATTCTCGCTATTCCTGCATCAAATACAGAAGTAGAACGAATGTTCTCGTCTATCAAAAACACTGTCTCCGATCGTCGTACCAGTTTAGGTGCAGAAAAAATTTGCAGGTAAAATAGCTTGGTATTTTCTTTCTCCTGTCGTCATTTTATTATACGTCATGATGACTTCCTCGCATGAATTAGTTTTTTCCAACAAAGAAACTTGTATCGTCATAGATGAGAATAAAATATATTCTTTGATATAAGCTTTATTCTGTCAGAATACAAGCGGAAAATATTCCGTTATAGTATTCTAAACTAAAACTATCGAAAAACACAAAATCAATTTTGTACGAATAGAGATTCGAACATGTGAACTTAGCTGTGTAGTAAACTACTACAAAACTAAATTCACTGTAGGGGGCCCCCCCCCGCGCGGAGCGG